TTTGTAATGTTTTAAGTTGTTTGTTTTTTTTAAACTTTATACTTTTTAATGCTTTTGTATTGTTTTTTTAAATTTTGCTGTTTTAAATTTGTTAGTTGCTTTGAGAAACGGGAGAAAGGTAGGATATAAATAAATAAAACAAAATAACAACAAGAAGAAGAAGATTCTATGCAAATTCCATGACTGAAGTGGGACAACTCTACAAACTCTACAAATGAAAGCCTCATTGGAAAGCAATCCAAATCAGCCCCTTGGCCCATCTGGCCTGTTCCTGCCGAGGGAGTTTGACAGCAGCTTTCCAGAGTCTGCAAGGGAGAGGAAAGTGTTTCTCCCACCGAGGGTCCTCAAGTTAAGAGGGAAGCAATTTAACCTGCTCACAAATAGCCAGAACGTCTAGGAAGGATGGTGTGACCTGGTGGTAAGCAAACCTGTGCCTGGGTAGCATGAAGCCTTCCAACTGGGGGGCTGAGTGGGAGGTGGATGGAAACAAACTTGTTTCCAAAAACATCTCATGGACAGGCAAGTTAGTAGCAGTACTCTGCCCAAGGGAATAATGTAAGAAAAGCTATGTAAAATTCACACTGCCTCATTTTAGACAATTTTTGGTTTTGCAACTTAGGAAATGATTGTACATAAACATACACTTATTCGCACGAACACACACACACACACATACCAGTTAACCACATACCAGTTAAAATTTCATAGAGCTCCTAAGGCCAGATGAACCATATCTCAGGGCCACATCCTTACATACGCACCAACTTACACAATGAGCTTAGCTAAGCAAATGAAGGATAAAGATGAAGTTGTGTTGGTAATATGGACCGTACCACCTCAGGCTGCAAAAATGAGAGAAATCATACTTTGAATGTTCTGCCAAATATAATTTTAAAAAAATAACTGTAAGACAAAGGAAGTTTATCAGGAAGCAGATTGCATGGAACTTCTGTCCTACTGTGCTAGTTTTCTACTTGTGACGATCTAGCAATGTATCCCCTTCCTGTTGACTGAAGATTGTCAAGTTCAGCTACGGCTGGGCTACCTGCATCTCTCTGTGCACTTAAAAGCTACCAGTCACCTGTCTGCATAAATAACTGCAAATAAATGTTGAAGGATAAGAGTGACTCAATTGCCACCAGAGATAGAGTCAGAAACGATGACAGTGCAAGAGTGGGGCTCATCACCCGCTGAGAGTTAGTCACAACTTGCCCGTGACCAAAGAGGACTCACTGTGTCATAGGTGCAAAATTTGTTCAGTGGACCCTCCATATTCGCTGGGGTTAGGGGCACAGGACCCCCATGATAATGGAAAAACAGCAAATAAAAAGCAACTTTTTTTTTTTTACCAGAGAGAACACTTCTCTTCAAATCTCTAGGTCTTCCAGTGCAACTCTGTGGTTAACATCTGGTAGACGCTGACCACAGAATCACACTGGAAGACTTACAAATGCCTAGAGAAGTGTTTTCTCTAGGAATCTCTAGGTCCTCCAGCATACTTTATGGTGAACTTCTGGAAGAGTAGGACTGGAGGACCCAGAGATTCCTAGAAATAACATATTAGTCAAATCTGTGAATAATCAAATCCACAAACATCAAAGCTACAAATGTGGAGGGCCAACTGTATTTGTTACTCAAGGTTTGGGAGGATCTGAGCTCTCTCCCAATGTCCAAAGTCCCACGAATTCTGCCTTGGGACGTGGCATTTGATCAAAAGGGTGCAGCTGAAGTCCAGTCCCTTGGAGGTGGCCTTCCCTACTCCACCCCAAAGAAGGGCGCCAGCAGGCCACTCACCGTCTTCCTGGCTGTGGATGTTCTGTGGACTCCGCATGCCTTCCTCCTGGCTTGGGCTCAAACTGGAGTTAAGATGCTGGTCAGCTGACATCCATGTGGAGTCGCTCATATCAAAATCCTCGCTGCTCACCGACGTCTCATCCTAGAAGCAGGCAGAGAAGGGTTAAAAGGATGCAAGAAAGGGAGGGAGTGGGGTGAGGAAGCCTTTGCCCTCCACCAGTCCTAGCCCACCCCTCCTCTCCCCCAAATCCTGACTCCAGACTTTCCCAAGGAAGCACATTATTTCCTGCTGGGGCTTCCTGTTTGGAGTCATGAAGATGAGGAATGGCACAGACTCTCATTAAGGACAATTAACCAAGGCCAGCTTCCAGGGACAGATGGCTTTTGCCCTGTCTTACATTCACCCTCCCTCCCTCCCTCCCTCTCTCTTTCCTTCTTCATGGCAGAGTGCCACCCACACCAGCCTCACTATACCAGTCCACACCATCAGTTCTGGTTTGTACTGGCTGCTTAAACAGATCTGGCTAAAGCTTAGTTGCTAGAAGCAGGTAGCAGACAATGTTAAAGCTTGGAAGAAAATGCAAGTTGCCATGGACAGAGAGACAACTCCTCCAGAGTCTCCTTAGCCTTTAACCG